CGACGTGTCGGGGCAAATAGGTGAGAGGTGTGCAGACTGCATGGGGTGGGTCTATTTGGACACTAGGGGAGGGGGGAAAGCGTTTCTTCGTTCTTCTTGCACGTGTCCGTAGAGTCACTTTGTCTTGTGATAAATGTGAATGTGGAAGTGTTTGCGTGCGGTATCATGATTCCCAATTCCGTCCAACCGATAGCTTTCTTAACGTGAAATCATGTTTTGGATTCTGCTTCGTAGATGCTCTTCCTGTATTTTGCAATTTTTTGGTTTTATGGGTATCAAATTTAATGGATCATTGATGATATAAAGACGGGAACAAAGTTTTTAATGGGCTTTGGAATAACCGTTCATCTCCAGCGACATTTGTTGTCTAAATCTCTGCTTTCTTCAGCCGCGTGAGGAGTTCTGGCTAACGTAATATTGCGTGACATATTGGTAGCAGTGTAGTGTTTCGTCCCTGGTACTGACATTAAGCAGGAATAGTAAGAAGGGAAGTCAAAGTGAACGGGCTTTGTTTTCAGGTGAGTACCTTCAGCCTTGTTTAATCTATTAGCCAATGTAATTACTTGAGGGTGTCACCTTTTCTAATGGATGGGGACGAGGAAAGCGGAATACAGCATTCGAAAAGTGGGACTGCGTGGTCTGCTCTATTATAAATATGTGATATTTTCTCTTCAATAGTTTACGGCAGAGTTAGCTGTTAATGCATTATCGCTTCAGGCTTGAATAAACGTCTTTAGAGGTATCTTCAATTTGTTTACCATTTTTTGTCGTTTTGTAATGGTGCAGAAGTCGCTTTTTTCATGGCAAAGCCAACAGATTTCATTGGCCGAATTGCCTCATATTTGTGATTCATGGTTAGTCGTAAGTCATCACAAAACACTGTACTCTAAAATGATTATGCATCCATTTTATCCCTCTGTGAAATCCTGAGGTGTCGCAAAGATTTTGCAAGTAAGAGTTTTAATGGATGTTCCACTTGTATGTCCAGGTCTGACCACATAGATATTGGAGCGTATGGGTGTTAATCAAGTGTTCAAGACTCGAATGTTATCCGTGTACGTTGTGATGTTTACACTTAGTGGAATTTATTAATGCTTAGTCTATTATTTCTTGTGTTTATCCTCGCGATTTCCCTACTTTCTTCAGTTCGCAACACTGAACAAACCTAATGCTGCAGAATCACCAAACGTGGTGAAGTCGGAGAAACGAAAAGTAAAGGGAGGGCTGATGAAGGCACTCCTTGCCACCTTCGGGTGGCGCATGTTCATCGCGGGACTCTACAAACTCTGTCACGATATCTGCCTCCTCTGTGGACCCATCATCTTTAAGTGAGCTACTGAGTCTTAATTCCCCCTATTTGTTACTTGGTGCCTGTGTCCCTTTGGAAATAGCATTGCCACGACTAAACTACACGTGCGTGGCATCTTTTCTCATTTGACTTCAATTGATAACACTAAATTGAGTTCAAAGTTAATCGGTTGAAATCCAAACAATTAACTGTACTTTCTTTACGTAAGGTGGAATGGAGAAATGTCTACTATTCTTCAACCACCACTTTTCAAAATAGATCTGCTTTTGCTTGCCAAATGAAACAGAAAAAAACCGTTAAGTTAGCATATCAAGTAAAACAAACTTCGGTGAGGTTATTGACAGACATGGCAGAGCTGGGTATCCGTTTAAACTTCGGGCTAATTTTTTGTGGTAGGAGTTTTCACTTACGAACAAGTTGATCGGCTCTCAGTAGTTCGTTCTCGAGGAATTTTAGAAGCTTTCTATCAGCATGCTGTGAGTATTTTGCCACTTTGGGTCTACTCTGAAGTTGAAAGACGCCCTAACACCGGGGTAAAACGCTGTTCGTCTACTTGCTGGCGTGTTCTGGAGGCCATGGAACCCATTAGAAGGATAAATGGCAATCAAGTGTCGGGGAAAATAAAACAAAGAATTCATCCCGCAACTCTGGTATTTTAACTTTGCGTTTTTGAGAACGATGGTAAACTGTAAGAATTTATTTATGAGCAAGGGGTGGTTTACGATGCCTAGATTACGCCGCTCAGCAATTGGAACACTTCAAAGATCTCCGTTATTGCCATTTAAGATGCTTTTGTCCTGAATTTACGCAAGGAGGAAATGTTATCAAGTGCACTTTTGGTTTGGATGTAACAAGTTATTACCCTTCACCATTAGAATTGGCTTGGAATTTACAGAAAATTCGACTATCAGAAAGCTGATTCCACGGCATCAGTAATGTGGTCAAACTTGATAGACCCACTTACGGAGAAGACTCAGCCCAAAGAATGATGCCTTCATTTTAGCTATGCTGGGTGAGAATGTGGCCCCATTCTAGTTGAGTCTCCAAACCGGTTTGACAACTTTATTTTCCGATCGGTAGATTGACTAAATGCCCAAGAGGTTTTATCCTGCTTTGCCTTCCTTACGAGCGGTTTGTCTTTTTACACCTTGTGGATAGAGTAGCGAATGGCTAGGGAGGGATGAAATGAATTCGGAATATCAAGATTCTATTTCGTTTGCATGCGGCTGAAATCAACACTGCTATTCTGTCGTCAAAAGGTCCGCCTCAGTAAAAGCACTTCTTTTATTTTATATTTCTTTGAGAGGCAAAACGGCGGCAGCATCCCCCATCCGTTGTGCAAGAGGTCATTGCGAAGCCGAATTGTTTTTATTTACCTGCATTTCCACCAAAACAGATTCTCTCTATCCCTTTGCATGGCCACTTTGCCATATCACCCTCTTATTCTCTTCTGGCATTTTCTTGATTATCTTCTTGATGCGCACCTTATGCCGAATTCAGATGTGGGTTAATATAACGCTGAAATCCGTATTTAGTGTGAATCCCGCTTTTTTGACCCCTAATTCATTGGTCCCTTTTCATCCATGATGCCCCTAACTTATACATCTGTAGTACTCTAGTTTCACGCCCGTTTGGTCCTCAACGATGACTTAATGGGGAATAACTTGATCCACAGGTCAACAAGGACGAAAGCATATCTCATGAGGTTCTTTTACTAGCCAGGCTGGACAATTTTAAGCCAAAGTGGTGACAGGCATTCAAGGAGCAGTCTTCTCTCACCGTAAGTATAAATGATGGCATAAAATAGATTTTCGAGGCTGGACACAGTCTCCGAATAAGTTTCGCAATTCTTTTTTCAATCAAAGGGCAACCTTTGGTAAAGCCAGCTGTCATGCAAGGTGTAAGTTGGTATGCCACCTTATAAGTAATCTGTTTGTACTCACCCCCTCATCTTCATTTTACGGAAACGCTGAACATTTATATGACATTAACTTTATTCTACACCACTGGTTAACTTTCACCTTGGATAAACAAAGACCGCTCAATGTCTAGCACGCTTCCGTCTCTAAATAATGCTAATGCTTTATCTCGGTGAGTCATGAGCGTTTGAACCAAGGTCAGCCTCGTCCTTTCGCCTAGACAATTCACAAATGCCAAGATGACTCCGTTAACGGAATCGAAATGAAAACTGCCCTATGCATCACATTTTGCCTTACTGGCAGATCGGCACCCGCATGACCATGGTTGAGTCGGGAATGGATGGGTAATTAGTCACGTTGTTTAAACCTAAACAGTTTCAAAAATTCGCTTGCATTTCGTTACTTTTCATTTGAGACTTCGTCCAAATGTCTTGGGATTGGGCAACATTGATCTTCTTTGGATACTTTTGGTTACGTAGCGTCTCACTTTTCTTGATCTTCGTTCGTCTTAGCAGTCCGGAATGTGAGACCTGCCGATGAAGAAATGTGATCCTTTTATTGTTTCGATTCCTCCCCGCAAATGCCGAAAGAATGAAGGAATGAACCGCATCTTAGCGGTGCACGTTAGGGTCGGTGAGCTGATAACAGGAGCATTAGGATGCGAATGTGTCAAGTAAAACTTGCGAAAGTGGAACATCTGATGTAAATTGGCATACGGCTCGTTCTACTGCACATTTTATTGGGAAGCCTGAAGGTGTACATATCACTTGACTTTTTTGAGGATTACCATTACGTCAGTCCAATTAAGTGACAGTAAGGTAGTTTGTTGCATAGCCGCGTCAAAACTGAGACGCTATTGGAGTGTAGGTTCCACCGTCGACGACTTGACGAATCAAATGGCGCCATTTCTAGAGATGGTTGCTTGATCAAAAAAGAACCTGTATTAGCACTAAAGAGAGTTTTTCATCAGTTAAGGCGAAGCTAATGGAGAGGAATTAAACGGATTAAACGGAAGGTGATTTTAAATATTTCAGCCTTACATTTTTAAACTACTTGTGGCTACTCTGAAGCCTCATAAAGCATCTAAACTTATTGTTCAATTAATTATGCTATTTCCATGGTTTGCTCTATTTCTCATCAAGATTTACTGGTCGTAGGGATACAGGCACTTATTCTGAACATCACTGCGGATTTTATGGAGCCTTTTTATAAAGTTACTGTGTTTTGTGTCTGTAAATTAGAAAAATGGTAAAAGCTTCCTCCCTTTGTGTAACTGCGTTGAGACAATACCGATACTTTTATCAATTTTGAGCTAATGTTGGAACCTTCGGCCTATCTGCAGGCTTGGATGTATCTGATGTACTTTTTAAGCTTTGTTAACAGCAGTAGTGTTTGCGTCTTTTTTAAACATCATCATCAGGACATGTACATTAACGATGAAGCGGGCGTCGCCTATTAGCGCAGGGGTCTTCGTTGTCCCACCGTTTCATTTTGGAACTGCTTTGGAAGCGAAAAAACACCAAAAATCGCCTCAAAACATCACTCAATAGATATTCTGTTTGAGTGTCATTCCCATTTATGCGTCTAGGCCAACTTTACACAAACAATTTATAAATCGCTATAGGGGGTTTTCTTTGTTGAATTCTATGCCTTAACAATTTTAAGCTATCCTATTAAACCCTTGCCTTTCTATCGATAATGAAGCTTTTTAACCCTTGATTTTACCAAACTCCTTAGCGATGGCTAGGGTTAATAGAAGCCTCACCTCTTTTTGTCTTTCCATTGGCCGACAAAGGGCTTCTATTCTATTAGGTGTGAATTAAAATAACTCTAGCGCTTCTGCCGCATCGTGTGAATTTTGTGTTCATTCATCACCTGATTGTCCGTTTTTATTATCTTTTTCTGTCACATACATCAAATATTTTTAATCCATATACATGTCGTGGTCACGTTTATCTACCCATTTTCGGGTCAATTTGTTTGAAATTCCTCCTAACTCATATGTTGACTCACCCGCTTGCCTATACATCCTCAAACTTCTTATCCATTGCTTATTCTTCATCCTTCACTTCGCCTATCCATCTGCCTCTATCCTATAGATTCGCATCTCCTCAACCGCTTCTTTGTTTCAAATCTACTCTTATCTGTAGGATGATCCGGGAATCCCTGATTTTTCCAGCTACCATATGTCCATCTCTCATATGTCGTCCATTCGGGATTTGTTTATGATTCTCGCTTGTAGACGCCTGTTGAATTTTATGCATCTGGAGTCGATGGAGCCAGTATGGCACGGGTACGCGTACGCCTCCTTGATGTTCCTCACCGCCTTCATACAGTCCCTCGTGTTGCATCAGTACTTTCGCAAGCAGACTCTCATCGGTATGGACATGCGTACTGTCATCATTTCCGCTGTCTATCGGAAGGTGAGTATTAAACTCCTTCTTCATCCTCTACATAAACTCTTAAAGCAATCTACTTCTCTAGACGCTGAATATGAAGTCTTCGATTTGTAATGAATGGCACAAGTTACTTATTCGATTTATTTCCCTAGAAAATAAAATGGAAGTATTCTTTGGAGTTACTCTTTGTAACAATTATCTAATTATTTACCTCTTGTGCTGGAATTGCCGTTTTCAATAATCAAACGGATTAATGACCATGTCGTCCCTCAGTTTTCACGTATTCCTAGGTGGACCTGCTGAGTCGCCTTCAATTATTACGTGACAATAAGGGTGCAAATAAGTAGTTGGGGTGGAATTCTGTTGAAGCGTTTATCATTACTACTCAGGCATTTTGTTGCTGTATGCCCTGGACGACTTATAATTCTCCCTTCGGTCGTGCAAAAAATGTTTCCTTGCGAATGTCGTGATACCTGGCTCTGCTGAAGGCAGTTTCGTGACTTTTGCAGATTTCGTAAACACCGGGTGGTTGGATTCCACTCAAACTCCTGCCAATTAATCTAACTGATTGGCCTCCGGAAATGGGCCAAAGAATACTGCTTGCTTATCATTATGAGGTGCGTTGTCCGACTGCACCTCTGAACTCATTTAAGTACCAGTGCCTTTTGCGTGGAAGTAGAGCCGCATTTTCTGCTACTTGTTGAATGATAAATCGAATCAAAGTTACATCAAAGCTCTGGTTGTTCCTCCAATCGCATACCTCTCAGACACCTTTTTTCACTCCAATAGAATGCGAAGGGCGAGTAGTCTGCACAACTTTTGTTAACATGTTACAAGTAAATAAACATTGAGGTAATTATATCCGCCTTTAGTTTGGATACATGGCGTTTTGTTAATTGGTCATTTAGCCCTCTCAACACGTAGCTTACCGGAACACACCAGTTGCTGTGCGTCATTGGCATTGGTTTTTGGGTGTCTAGGGTAACTTCATCAAATTTCATGGGTAGTTGACCCCCTCTGTCTTCGCCAAAAACTCCACAATAGGAACATCTATTTTAAGGCAGAGTGGTTAAACGATGACAAGTCGCAGATGAAAAGCTGAGGTGAGATGTTAGAGACTTTGAACTTTTAAACTCAGAGGACTTCCTCACTCTGACTTGCATTGATATCGAGAAATGGCCAGACCTATGCCAAATCGTAGACAATAGAATTAAGGGGTTTTGAAGGCTACTTTCTTCAGTATCCTCGCAACTGACGTGGTTGTTTTTTGCATAGGATTCTTCGACAAATTTTCGGTACTTTCAATCAACTGTGCTAAGGAATCTAGCTCGAACATCTTTTTTTGAGATAAACCGCAATTTATATTGCCGTTTTGATGATAGAATTGGAAATCGCTCCACTACTGCCTTATCGTTAATGCTGAGTTGGAGATTAGCTCATAAGTCAGACTTCAGCCTCACGTATACGTGAAGACAACCTCGCCGCAGTTGTGGAATGCGGATCATTGAAAATTTGCTATAGCAACTTGTTTGCTACTTTTTGTTGCGAACAGAGTAGTTAAGTTCAACAAAAGAATGTCATGCATGTAGGTCGTCCTTTGCTTGAGACCACTCTCCTTGAATCGACAAGAAAATATTAACGAGTAATATCGACTTCGACTAATAAGACACCTGGTCTGTGTTCTTTCGTCCAGACGAGGAGTAATCACTGAAAAAGATGTCTAGTTTTCCCTTCTGCACTATTCACGAAACACAATGGATTATCCACTTTACTCATTTGCACAATTGGCTAAATAGTACTAACTAGGGTTGGACGGGGATGAGGCCTGGAATTAATTAGCCTTTACTAATAATGCAAATGTAAACTGACTGCGCTTTTTAAAAATCTTATGGAAGCTCTGAGTTTCACCTTGAAAATGCTAATTATGGTTTAATGGCATCATTGATTTGAATGCTCAATGATATTCTTTCTGGTGCAATGATTTACATTCCACCATTTTGTAGATTACGAAGTTTAAGTAGGTAGGCGATTTTTCGGCCGCAAGCCCATTTCCAAACGTTAATTACTGCAAAGTTGAGGAAAAATGTCCTTCAATGGGATCGATTCCCAATTGTTGAATGTCTAGTTTATTTGGCCTTGTACTCAATGGGATTTGTTGAAGGAAAGTTGTCTACCTTTATTTCGATTCAAAACAAGCTAGTCAAGTTTACTTTTTTATTGTTGCGTTCATTGTGAGTTACTCCACTGCATTTATTGCGTCACATGGTCTTCTACCCACTCTTTCTACTTACTGTGATTGTCCAGCGTGTACATTCTCTGCCTATTTTTGTCTACATCACCAGTTCACATGTTTGGATTGATTAAAAAATGCACTTAAAATGCCAAATTAAGAAATATGGGGAGAGTTGAATTGACTGAATTTAAAAAATGGAATTTAACCCTCCATTATCATCTAACCGTCAACTGTTCTGCATTGCAGTTGTTTTTTACTCTCAATTTGTAGCCGGTATATTTTTTCGAAACATAGTTTGCGATTTCAAATATTTACTTTGATGTGGGCTTTGGAGGGGTCAGTAATATCGGTACCTCACGCTTATCATTTCTCAGGTGTTACCTCTTTTCGACACTAAAGTGACGCATTCGAATCAGCCTTTCGTCTTGGCGATGTTTTGCCTTTGAAGTTAGCATTTGCTACTGTATCACTCTCCATAGTCAGTGCCATGTCTGCTTCTACTAGCTACCTGTATGCATGTTGGCTAGCCCGCTTGGGACGCCGTTGTCAAGTCGATTAGTAACACTGATTATGATGGAGGCATGCATCTTGCTTGCTCAAAAGATCTATTCGTGGAACTAAAACAAGTGATCTACGAGCCATTGGAATTTTCAAAAGTCATCCCACTTTGCATCCCGAAACAGTGAAACTCGGTGCTCCAGGATCAGGTATCAGTAACTGAAAAACCTTTCTGTGCAGAGCTTTCTAATCGTCAATTAAGTCATGCGACAAGTTGGATATCGACATATTGAGCTTTTTAATCTTCAAAGTTACCTGGGGTAGGACTAGGGTCTCGGTTTTCCTTGAAGGCACTTTTTATAGTCAAGAGGTTTCAGGTGGCACATTTACTTCTCTTTTACTACTCAGTTACTCGGAAGAGACTATAATATTACCCGGCGGTTATAGGTGGTGTTTGACGGCCCCTGCGATACTATCACTCTCATTCACAGAGTCTACGACTGAGCGCCGCAGCACGTTGCGGATCAACGACAGGAGAAATCACCAACCTAATGTCGATAGATGCACAAAGGTTTTTTATGCTCATGCTCAACATCCACGTTCTCTGGTCCGCACCCTTACAAGTCACCGTGGCGGTCTACCTACTCTGGCAAGAACTCGGTCCCTCTGTTCTCGCCGGAGTCACGCTTCTCCTCATCATGATACCCATCAATATCATGGTGGCGAAGAAGAGCAAGGCCCTACAGGTAATTTGCTTCGCTCTATCCCCACTTCTTTATCGGCTAGGAGGTATATGGTTGTGTTGTTTAGCTTCTGTAGTCCTCTCAATTATCTCTCAGTGTATTGCAGCTTTAAAATTGCAGTAGGTCTTCAATTTTTTTTATTTCGATGTTAGTCCATTTGGCTGTATTTTCTGATTTATTAGTTGATGACTTTTCAGCAAGTGTTTCTTGTTAAACTTTCATAATATTTTCCATCCATCTCGAGCGTCTGATCTTATTATTAACCGATTTTTGCTTGAATGTCATAGCTGATTTTATATAATAGAAGGTGTGGTTTTGTATGCCCATCTCGTTGAACTACTCTTCATTCCAATGCGTAATTCATGTTTGTAAAAGGCTCAGCTAAACCATTCTTCGACTGCCATCCAACGCTTGCTGAGATAATGTTACTCAACCCAATCTTTGGGGAATATTTCGAACCACCAATTTCAAGTAATAGTGATCCGACCGCATATTCTTGACATTTTATCCTCTCTAAAACTACTTTTCACGCTTATCGTGAACGGTTGTGCTATAAAAATGGCGATCTAGTGGCAAAGTTTTCTCTTCCTCTCATTTTTCCTCGAGCCCTCCCATTCTGATTGCCACTGTTTTTCATTGCTATGAATGCTTGAGCTCTAATACTGCTGTAAAGGTGGGAACAGTCGGGAACTAGCGAATTAACGTGAAAGTTCTTTACCACTCACAGCAGGAGTGGATGAACAACACCGAGGTGAAGGACAGAAAATGCAAATTGTTGCCATTGTTACATTGACATATAAAGAGATAAGAAATGGGTGCTTGAATAGGGACGACCTGGAACGTTTGGAGATTTGGCATAAAAGGGGCAGTTAGCATTAAAGAGGAAACTTCCACAAAGCAGACATTGTTGAAAAGCTACTTATTTAAGGCGCTGAGACTTCTCCGAGGACAAAGGCGGATAGAATGAAGTATCATGCGGAGGTACGACAGGGATGACATATTTGGGCATGCGACGAAGACTAAGAGTTAAGCAATGCATTGCGGTACAATCGATGGCTGAAGTCGTGGTGTCACCCAAACCGCTGAAATCTGCAAATCATTAAGATCGAGGAAGGCTAAAAGTCGAAACTGGATTGCTCTTTTGCACCAATGGCATCCTCTTTTTCTTTCTAAGCCTGTCTGCTGATCGGTATTAGAAAAGCTCAAATTTTTACCATTTGTTACCTCTGTGAAACAAGTTTGTCCATCACTTTATTCTGCTTACCTGAGCTTTCAACAACTCTATAATGCGCGATTTCGCTTTTATGCAATTTGTTGAGCATTCTTTGGAGTTCTTTCTGTCAGTTATGACCCTACGTACACTACAGAAACGGCGGCGGTGTTGTTGGCGGACATAAGTCAATCAGGACCAAAGAGTAAGGTGTGCTAGATACCGATCGCTTCCCCTCGCATTTAATTGTACCACACGATCTGTGGATGACGCCTGACCTTCTCGTGACATCTTCTCTGCACAAAAGCCATCTTAAAGGCAGGATAATCACTCCGGACATTCTGGCCTCAAATTGTATAATTTATTTTTGTTCTAACCGCTATTTCCAGGTATTTTAGCCAACCATTTCTTAGCTTAAAGAAACGAACCTTTGATTGCTCTTTCAATGCTCTCGTTCCCAAGGCTGCTTACTTCTTGGAGTCTGCTATTTGATTTGGAATCAATTTCCTCTGTCTTTGGTGTTATGTTAATACTTTCAACTATTTTCGCCTCTATCAAAATAACTTGGGCTATCACTGTTTCCAGTCATGCATACGTTATAGAAGCCCTTTTGTATAACTTACTTTTGTCCACTCAATAGTCGGAAATAAAGTTTCTATTGAGTCTTACACGACAAGGGAATCTTTATCTGAAATTTACATGCATTTAAATTTATTCCAGGAAAAACAATTGAAGACTACAGACAAACGCATCAAGCTCATCAGCGAAATTCTCAACGGTATAAGAGTGAGTTGGCATGTTTTCATTAAGGCTAGCATAATCATAATGTGCGGTGTTTCAGTAAGCCTAAGTTGAGTCGTCCTTGCGTACTCTAGGAATAAGCAAGTGTGGTATACCCTGTTTATCCACCTGAATTCTCCCTGCAATCTGGGAGAGAGGTGTTTTCTACCTCACTGTGTCACATGATTACCTCTATCCGGCGGACTGTACTAGCGCTTGAGCAGAAGCTACCGTCATCTCAGTGACGACTTTTACACCAATGAGAAACAGCCCTCCGTCACATGTTAGACACTGTGATCAAGGCTAATGGGGGCGAAATCGTGGCACCAATATGCAGAGGCGTTGTCTTGATAGCTTAAAAGGAAAACAATTCAAAGGTGGATTTAACTGTTGGATCTACCTATACTTAAGTGATTATTAGGTGTCCAAACCTGAAACAGGTAAGCTAAATCGTAAACGTCCAAATATGTTTTCTTTTGCTTTACCTTCACATCACGGAGAGGGACTGCCAATCAGGGTGAAAGCTAGGGCATGCAGTTTTATTTGTTTTTGTTTTAAAACTAAGTTCTGGACAAAAACCATTTGGGAATTGAAGTGGTACATTAGATAGGAAACTAATCAGTCTCAAGGTGGAATCGCTAGCTTTCGGTTGTATTGCATTGCCAATGTATTCGCTCACTGTCATTTCCTCAATTTCTTTTACACTGAAGGTCTTGAAGCTCTACGCATGGGAGCCTTCATTTATCCAGGTGGTGGGATCGATTCGGAAAAAGGAACTCTCCTATCTGAGGAAATTCCTCTATCTCGATTGTGGTCTCACCTTCATCTTCGCGTGCATACCCACATTGGTCAGTGTTGTAACAGCGGTCGCTTTATCTTCATCTTGTTTTGCTGCTAGAAGCCTGCTTAATTCTATCAGTACTGGTCTCTTATGGGGCTGCCATAATTGTGTTGCCTCATTAGCAATTACCCAATGTTAGCATCCGATAACTAACGGTGAGGCTGAGATCAGTGTCCAAATTAATTAAGAATTTAAGCGTCTCCTCACGACGAAGCTGTCCTATTGGTTCCGTCCGTTGGGACGCATTTTTCCCAAACTGGCAATCCATTGTCTTCGTTCATGTCTAGGAGATTGCTTTGCGTTTGTCTGGTGTATTGAATGGTAATTTCAAAGAAAGAACCTGATGTTTAGAACACTTTCGGATAACGGTTGCTGACCAATTAGATAATTAAGGATTATTTAAGCGCTTTATTCATCTTTCTCAGTTGAGGGCTAGGAGAATTCTTTGTTACTGATGTGTCACAATTGTTACACCAGCCTATGTTTTGCCAAAACACATTGCTTTTTCATTTTATATTATGTTGAACCATAAGTCTATCCGGTTTGAATTGAGCACCGATGACTACATGAATGGTCCACTTTTGAACTCGTTCTTTAATATTGTCAAACTACCTAACCTATGGCTCTGCTTCCAAATTGCCTTTTTGATTAACTATACTTGAAGAGCCGTCATCACAAGTTAATTCGGTTTGTGTCTCGTCCTCTTGAAAAGCGTTGTCGTTTTTATTATTGTTTTTAGCGGAATCCCTTCTGAAAGCGCTTGTTATCTCGGGCAATCCATCACTCACTGAAGATAGTCTTTTGGAGATACTTGGTGGTTTCATTTTCTGTCAGCCTAGCAATCATTTGACTACCATTATTGTCTGACATTGCAGTGTGCGGTGACCTCTTTTGGCATTATTAGTGGCATTTTTTTCTAAAGACATCAGTGGGTCCTGTGTGTAAGATTTTTTTGGTTTCACTGCGGACCATCCCCTCACGTTATTTGTGAACTGGGAATTAGGATTTGTCAGATGTGATTCATCGTCAAGGCTTTTCAAAACATTCAGGATCTGACAGGGTGCAGCAACTGATGGTTAAGTACGCATTCACTTTCATAACGTGAATAAAGCATTGAAGTCCCACAACGGGCTGAGACATTGGAGGGACAGGACGCTATCAGATTTGCTCTTTTACGGTCTTTGAATGCAGCAAGAAGGAAATGAATCTTTTGGATGGGTCATTTGGTTTTGGAACAAGTGTGCGGGGGAAACAATTCCATAAACTTTCATTTGAATTTAACCATGACTGTTCTCCCTGCATTTCAAATCATGGAGAAAAGTAATAATAAGTGGTCCACAAGCAGTAGATCCCCATTCCATGCTGACTGAGGTCGATTTGTAGAAGACTGAAAAGACTATCGTTGTACTATACAGCATTGAGGTAATGAGCAAAAAATGCGAGTATATAAATTTTTTCTACTTTTCACCCATTAAACAGTCTTGACTACTCTTTCTGCCTTGTTGTTGAGCCGTAGGAAAGTTTGCTTATGATTATCAGGGAGAAAAAGTGCGCTGTTACGGTACCAACACAAAGGGTTAAGTGAGCAGACTTATTCACTTGCTTAGTATTATCTCTGACCTCCTATTTTTTTCGTATTACTTTAGCTAGGAAGGCATTGCTTAATTTTTTTTAAAATTCTTTCTCTCTCCTAGGTCGCCCTAGCAACCTTCTCTACTTATATTCTTTCGTCACCCGAAAACTTGTTTACTGCTGAAAAGGCCTTTGTCTCGCTTTCTCTGCTTAATATTCTCCGTTTTCCTCTCTTCATGTTCCCCACTCTTCTCTCAAACCTCGTTCAGGTGAGCCCCTCTTGTGTGAAATTTTTTTTACGCTTTTCAGCCTCTACCTTTTGGAGTGAATGTGAAAGTGTTATGAGTCAGTGATGTTGGTATAAATAGAATTTGAAAACCCAAAATCACTTTCTTCAAGCGTTGCTCGGTCACTTGACTTGAATGACTTAGTTGGGCTAAATGTCGGTTTGGTAGAAATTTTTCTTTTTTTTCATGTTTTTGAATTATCTATCACTGTCTTTGGACAAGTGCATCCAAGTTTTTTGTTTTCGTTTGACGTGGCAAGCCTAGAAGGGTGTAAGGGTACCATGGAGCTACCTCTAATTTGGCGGTAAATCTGGAGTAAGTATTAGCTGCATAACTTGAGAATACTTGTACTGAAAAGAGAGCAGTTACATCCTTTTATGCGAATAAAGCCTCCTTGTAAACAGATTTTATCCCTTTTACTCTGCGTGCCTTCCATGGTTAGAGGGCCGTCTTTCCATGGACTTTTTATTCGCGAAGGTAGGTGTAGAATGTTGCTAATCTTTTTTTCAAGCTAGAGTTAAGACTAGGAGGAGCATAAGTAAAACTCTGAAATTTGTGTGGAAGAGAAACCATGAAATCCTGAATCTGAATACTGTGATTGATGATGTTCTCAAACTCAATGGAGCGGATTACAGGTCTCCGACGTTTAAATGTTTCGGTGCCACTAATCACCAACGTTCAGGACTGTGCAACACTTCTGCAAAGAATAGTTTTTTAAGGGAAGTGTCGATTCACGTTTCAAGTTGAAGTAGCAAGAGGGCAAAAATTCAATCTGGAATGGAATTACTGACAAGAATGCTGACGCTGTCAACTCTCCAAAATTTTAATGGGCCTGCTTTTAAGGCCTTTTAAAGACTAAGTGACAATTACCGTGGATGTGTTCCCTTATGGCACGCTTTGGAAAGTTTTAACCCCCACTAACCTTAGAGGAGGCGGAATTTACTTGAAATAGGCATTTTCACTTAATTGTATAGATCGGCGACCTTCAGATAACTAAGTTTTTATTTTAGTAACTCCTTCCCTTGTATTCTAGAATTCATGCTCCCTGAACTCAGAGGTTTTGAGGGATCATAGAAGTTATCATCACTGAATCTCAAAGTGACCTCCTCATTGGAAAAGTGGGAGGGTCATCTCATAAAATGTAATTTATAATTTAGATACGAGGTCACTTCAGCAGTGTACTTAGCACTTTCTCCACCAAGTTCACAGATGGGATCCGGTCACCAAAGTCAAAATGTTGTTTTTGGTTCCGTTGGAGTATTATGGTTCGTAATATCGGATTCGCTTCTCCATTTATGGCACGGAGAGTAGATGCAACACCTCTTAGACTGAAGCCATATTCCATCAATCTTATCGCTTTCAAATTGGAAATTTTTTTCGCACAATTCCCTGCATCTCTAGTCGTGTATGCCATATATACGACCTGACAGCCAAGGTAACAATATCACTCCACTGTGTGATCCTTGACTCTACTACAATAAACCTAAATTCAGGTAAATGGACATTGCCTGGCTAACACTTTTGTTCCCCTTGGTATTCCTTTCTATTTTGCGCAACTATCAAAACTTAATGACCCTTTGAAACTTTTGCGTCGTTAAGGCGCAGCATTTATAAAGCATCATTGGTTGGTTTCTTTATGAGTTGATAATCCTTATTGTGGCACCGCGATACCCACAACTCTCTTGATATTAGCAATGAAGGGCTACCATTACTGCAAGGACTGTGGAACGCTTCCTATGCAAAATGAAGAATTTGGGGGAGGATTTGAACTCTCCCCAAGTATTGATTCAAAGCCTACGCTTTAAACATTTTTCCCAGCTTACTTGTATGGAGCAAATGTATGCAAATGCTTCACGAGTTTTTCTCCCTCGCGTATTGTTTAACCGCGCCTACACCTTTTAGAGGTGTATTCATTTCAAATGAATTGATGCCTTTAGTAGAAGAAGAGTAGACTTAGATAAAATTGGTTACTGTTTCAACTTTAGAAGCACCAGAGTCCATTTTCCGGTTAATAGTAAACAGTAAATTATTCTCCTTCATTGATTGAATGAAAGTGGTCAGGTATTTGCAGATAGGACGAAATCACTTTTATTCCGTGACAGCTCCTCACCTGCCACACTCTTAAGGGAGAAAATTTGTTTCCATACTGCGCCTAAAATGTGATTTCATGGCATTCTGTGGTATATGAATTTTGGTCGTTAGCTGCACCCAACCCAATTGAAATGTCATAGATTTTGCGTACTCGTAAAAATCAAGAAACTGAAACTGATGCCTACTAAGTTGCTGTTGGCAAGACGGAGAAACACACCGTTAACTACCGCGCCATTGCCTATCTGCTACCAAATGCTTATTCCTTTATTTTTCACGGGATATCACTGCGAGTGCTGGATAGAAGCAGTAAATGTCCATTGTACTCGATACTCACGTTATCCTGATCACGTTCCACTTTAGCGCTCGTAACACTCGTCTGCGAAACGCTTTGGTAGCATAATTTGGCTTCTTATCTTTTGGTAGATTTTTCGAACTCGACTTATTGCCTCGAAATGGGGAAAGGTAATTTGAAACGATTATTTTAAAATGACATTAACGGTCTGGTGTCTAGGATCAGGCAGCATGCAGCATTCCACTTCATTTAATTGCAATTCCGATGGTTAGGTAGCGCTCCATCCCATCAAATGTGAACGTTAAAGTAACACTTAGTCTCTTCCTCGCCTCCAGTGTTGTGGACACCATTGATCCTCTCAGTTTTTCACACATTCACAAATACACTGTGGTCTTTTTGAAATGAATGATTTCATCGCATGCACACTGAACAGCTTAATGATGCTTCATTCAGGAAATAATCCACAGTGGTGCCTTTAGTCTCGATCCTTCCGAAGTATGGGCTTTTTGAATTCCAAAAGGAGTATTAGATAGTGTACGAATAGGATGGTGATGAAACAATTTGTCCAAGTCAAACATTTTTATTTTTACGAGTGAGGAATGCTGTATTGACGTGGCAATTCTAACTCACTAGCTAGCCAGTATGGGCAATATTAAATGAAGATGGTAGGTGACAGCGCTAATAAATGTAATCCTTGTGTAAAAGGGGAAGGATCGTGTTACTTATTCCTTTTGGTTTACTTTGGAGGCCTATGTGTCAGTGCGCCGAGTGACCAAGTTTCTGGTGAACACGGAACTGGATCCCATCGCAGTAAGTCATGAGGACACTCCTGGTGTGGCAGCAGTAATTGAAAACGGCACACTCGCTTGGGGATCGGACTGTGAACCCGCGTTGCAAAAGTGAGTATACGAAAGGCGCTCAAATTAAAATTGTTGTTGTTGGGCTTATAAAAAAGCAAGTCAACTTTAGGGGTTGGAAAGCGTACTTTTTTATTCGGCTAATGCCCCTCTATATTTATGTGTGTCAGTCAATGTAAAAAAAGGGACCTTAACCTTGACTGACCTGTAGCTGTGCTCACTGCTACAGGTCAGTTAAGGTATTTCCTTGAATTTTTAACTATTAACAAAAATATGATGTGCAGAATTGCTTCTTGAAATGAAGTAAAAGTAATCCCTTATATCCTCACTTTCCCAATGAGGTCGGCTAAATTTAAGGAAGGATCTTCCAACCTCCTTTTTCACCAGCTTTGCACACACGTACACATGTACACACAGTCACGCAAGTGAACATGCATGTGTCGAACCGCTGTGCTGCACCATGTCAGATTGTGCTCCCATGGCTTAGTGAGAAGACAAAAGACCTTTTTCGTG